CGTCCGTTCCAAAAATACTTGTTCAGCGCTGCCTGTCGTTTGATCAGGCAGTTTCCTACCTGCTTGGGATACACCCGTAAGCAACACAGGTGAAGATCCTTGCCTCTGGGGCTGGCAGTTTTCCACTGGGGGGGGGGGGGGGGGGGTGTCACACTATCCCTATATTTCTGGGTCTCACTTCTTTTTCCTCAGGCTGACAAAACCAAAAACTTGAATTCTAGTGTTTTCTTTAGTGAAATTTAAACAGTTTCCTGTAAATACCTTTGATCATTATTTATAATCTCCTAAATGGCCCACACTCCACTGATAATACTATGCCTTTCAGTGACCCACTACAGCAGAGAGGGCGCATGCGAGTGGGGAGGGCAGAGAGACAGAGAAAATCCCACGCGGGCTCCACACTCAGCACAGAGCTCCACGTGGGGCTCGATGCCACGACCCCAGCATCGTGACCTGAACTGAAATCAAGAGTCAGACACTCAACCGACTGAGCCACCCAGGGGCCCCTGCTACGGTTTTCTTGGGAGAGAATACCAGAGCCATTTACACAGGATAACAGAGGAAATGAATAATTCTTATCTGTTTGTAAAGTGATGTTACAATTCAGTACTCAGGTTATATATAAGCAAACAGCTTTATCTGAAGCCCGCCATTTTATTTAAAAAATGCCAAGGTTTCGTCATAGTTTAAGATCTCTTCTTGCAAAGGAAGTTCTCTTTCTCCTGTCTGTTGAGTAGCCCCCTCTCCTTTGAGCTCCTCGCCTGCCGGCTGCCTCATTAACAACTAGGCTTTGCAGTGATGTTCTGAGTCCTCCATTCCTCTTCGTGTTAGGATTGATGTTATGAAAGGAAATCATTGTGACTTCCCCCGTTAGATTTCAAGGTCAGCACAGACTTCAGAGCTTTTGTAACAAGTCTCCTCTTTAAAATGACTTTGTTGCACAAATTCCGTTTTCTTTCAAAGAGAAAAGGATCTCTTTGCTCCTTCCCTAGCGATCAGTGGCAGTACTTGAGATCTCAAGGCTTTAGCACACAATAAGAAAAATCCACAAAAGATGTGATTTCATCTCATTTTCACATGGCTATAAAGTGATTTTTCCCCCAGTTTTAAAATGCGGGTTAGCTACAGAATCACTGTTTTAAATGAGATTTTCCTGACTAGCTCCCGCTGAGGTATCATCTCTAGCAGAATTTGGTTAAGGAAATCGTTCAGGTGGGTCTCACTTCTTAGAAGTGAATCACCCGGCTGTGGTTTCAGAGATGTTGGAGGACAGAAGAGTGTGCCATCATTTCTTCCTCCGGCTCTCAGGCTGGGGACTGAGGGGAGGGACACAGATCGGGCCAGGAAAGGCACCGGGATTCATCCGAACGAACTTAGAGATCACTGGCCTCGTCCCACAACGCATCCCACCCAGCAAGTGGACAGATGCTCCCAGGAGCTGCACAGAAAGGCAGAAGGGGGGAGGGGTAAGGAAAGGGCAGCTCACCTCATGTTCCTTAGGGGGATCTGGAAAACCGTCTGTGTAGCAGATTTTGTCATTGGTGCTGACCCGTTAAGACTGTATTTCTGGAAAAGATGTAAACAGCTGTTAGGTTAGAGAGCAAGCCCTGGTGTGGTGACTTAGCTTAACCCAAGTGACTCCATTTGGGACCTGTCGTCTCTCTCTCTCTCTCTCTTTAATGTTTTTTATTTATTTTTGAGAGCATGTGAAGGGGGTTGGGG